CCCCAAAACCCCAAAACCCCAAAACCCCAAAACCCCTAAATTTTATGGTGAACTGAATTAATCAATTTTTTGTTTGCCTTCCTTCTTTATCTTCTCTTGTTCAAGTCTGTACCTTTCTTTAAGCCTGGGTCTTCTATGGCAGTTTTGGCAATCATCCTGCTCATCTATAAAATTTGGGTTAGAGAACCATAGAGGGTGAACTTACCGTTTTCATTGTCATTCTCCATTGGTTGGAATAGGTTCTATAAGAAGTTTAGCAGGAATTGTGCGACAATTTTAGCATAAATAGACTCCAAATCCTTACCATTATACTTCTGAAGAGGAATACTCCAGTGACGGCCATTATAATGAGAAATATCAATATATAAACCCAATTCTTCTTGGCAAGGTTGATGATCTGGCCAGTGGTCTTTTGCTTCATTAAATCAATGTGCTTCTTCATGCCTGAAATTACAGATAATGCTTACTCCTATATGCTTCTGCAGTAGCAGGGATATTATGCACTCTGAGGTTTTTGTTGTAGTCTCTGAAATACTCTTTCTTGATGATGTAGCTAAACAATGAGGAAGACCTATCTAGATATCTAACTTACTCAGTCACTTTGGAAACTTCAAATTCACCAACATATTCGTATGCATTTGATTCCTCAAGGTACACTATGATTTAGGAAGTGAGAACTACCTAGAGTCCGATATTTAGGATTCATTTTGAATCTAGTGCAGCCATAGTTCATCCTACTTTGCATCATATCGTTCTCAATATTTGTTAATGTTAAGTTTATGTTGACCTAAAAAGTTGAACTCGATTCAAAGAAGAAGTTATACCTCGGTCTGATTGATCTCTTTGAGAGATTCCTAGACTTTTATACCTCCTGAAGTACCATAGAGATCTGTTTGTTGCAGTCTATTATCCCAATCTTAACTTTCCTTCTTTTAAGAGTGTCTGAAATCTTGTAGAGATATTCCAAATTGTCACTATGAGGTAATGAGCCGTTTCAAGATACTTTTGTTTAGATCCATATTCATTTTTGATTACTTCGTCTTGGAATTCGATGAGCCATTGCTGGTTAGCTTTGCCGTAATAATCTCTAAAATTCAAACCTCTGGATTACAAGACTCTTCCATCAAGGAACTCAAGACCAGTGAGATTGTAGAAATTGTCCTTGATCAGGGTAGTTCCATGCTTTAGAATTGAGGAATCACCAGAGCTGTTGGTTCCATTTGAGGTAACAAATGATCCATTCTGCTTGTCTTTTGATTCGCCTACAACTATCCCACAAAGCATGGAAACAATGAATATTAGGGCTATAAATCATTATATAGGCCTATCTAGAGGCTAAGTTACCTCAAAAGCTTAATGTAGATTTCTGCTCCATTTTCATTAATTATTATTCTCTAAGGGGTTTTGGGGTTTTGGGGTTTTGGGGTTTTGGGG